TCCCCTTTGCTACTCTCCCCCACTCCCTGCAAGCACTCGCTCTCTTTCATGTGTGCTCTATCTAAAATAAAAATCTTTAAAAAAAAAGAGTGTCATTAAAAAAAATTACAACTCACATAGTTTAAGTATTTTCAATATTCAGATATCCAAATAAGGATATTCTACTGTAATTCTAATATGGTTTTTAGTTTGGTCTGTTTTTTCTAGGTGGGCAATCTTAACATAACATGAATAATAACAGACTTATTCCTAACCTCTGTGCCTTTTTTAATCACACTGGTTAAGCCTTTCAGAACAATACCGAATACCAGAGGCAAGTGCAGGCATACTTATCTTATTCCTGAACTTAAGATAAAGTAATTCCAGTGCCATGCTTTTTAATTTAATGTGTTTGTTTCTCATGATAGTTCTTCTCAAACTAATAAAGTTTCTTTTTAGTTCTAGTTTAAGAGTTTCATCAAAAAATGCTGACTTTTGTTTAATGACCTTTTCTTCATCTATGAAAATATTTACTCCCTGACTCAAGCAACTCATTAATAAATTCCTAATGTTAAACCATCCTTATATTCCTGGGAGTAAAAAGGCCTTCTGGTATTTTCTCTTAATATAATGCTTTATTTCATTTGCTATCATTTTATTTAGTGAGAACAGACTACAAGTTTTTATGCAATTCGTGTCCAGATCTAGTAATTGTCTGAGCCTTTAAAGAGAACCTGAAGGTTTTGTTATCTTTCTGCTCTGCAACAGTTCACATAACGCAAAAGGTCAAGCTTTCTCAAGTATAGAACTCACTTACCGAACCTCGGGGCCTGGTGCCTCTCTGATGACCTCTGCCTTCCCCAGCTTTTAGTCTAACCAGTATTCTCCCTAAGATAATTACTACCTGTTTGAGAGTCAGGGAAGTGTGGCAGTGCTTTGCAGTTGAGATTGTCAGGGCCTACCTATATCCTGCTTCAGCCGCTTCCTTGTAGACCTGCAGTTCTGTTCTCTCAGACTGATTTCCAGGGTGTTCAGAACAATCCGCTATTTATCTAGCTGTGTTTGAGGGACGATGCAAGCTTAGGGTCCCACTACTCCTCCACCATCTTAACTCTACCCCCTCTGCCTCAGCCACTTCCAGTTGTGTTTTTGGTAGATTACTCTCCAGGTTTTAATTCCTTTATCTGTATAATGGGGCACATAACAGTACCTACTTAATAAAACTGTTGTGAAGATTATGAGCAAATACACACAAAGCACTCAGAACTGCGCCTGGCCCACTCAAAGTTTCAATAAATACTAGTTATTACTTAGGATATTTTTCAAATTAATTAGAATAAAGCTACCCACAACAATCTTTACTTCAAAAATATCCTCTGAAGGGGTGCCTGGATGGCTCAGTCATTGGGCATCTGCCTTCGGCTCGGGTCATGATCCCAGGGTCCTGGGATTGAGCGCCACATTGGGCTCCCTGCTCAGCGGGAAGCCTGTTTCTCCCTCTCCCACACCCCCTGCTTGTGTTCCCTCTCTCGTTGAGTCTTTCTCTGTCAAATAAATAAATAAAACCTTTAAAAATTAGTAAAAATAAATAAAAATATCTTCTGAACATTACTGAAAATTATTAATATTGTCCGTTTATGTTTTCTTTTTTCCTTGACCAGACTTGCCAGATGTTGATCAATTTCACTGGCTTTTTCTTTTCTTTCTTTTTTTTTTTTTTAAAGATTTTATTTATTTATTTGTTAGAGAGAGAGAGTGCGTGGGAGCACAGGCAGACAGAGTGGCAGGCAGAGGCAGAGGGAGAAGCAGGCTCCCTGCCGAGCAAGGAGCCCGATGTGGGACTCGATCCCAGGACCCTGGGATCATGACCTGAGCTGAAGGCAGGGGCTTTAACCCACTGAGCCACCCAGGCGTCCCTCACTGGCTTTTTCAAAGAACTAGTTGGTTTCATTTATCCTACCTCATCTTTAAAATTTCTTCATTCATCAATTTCATTCCTTTCCTACTTTCTTGAAATGAATACTGAGTTCATTTGTTTCCAGACTCTGTTAATGTCTATTAAATACGTTTGCCTCTGCATAATACCTGCCTATATCCCATAGGGTTTGATATGAACTGTTCTCATCTTTCTACATTTCTAAATAACCTGCAATTTCAATTCTGATTTCCTCTTTAATCCAACAGTTTTATGGTTCTAGTGATCTGAAGTCAGACGATCTAACCTATATAATTTCTACTTTTTTGGAACTTGTTAGATTTTCTCTATGACCTCTTACATCATAATTCTATTAATATTCCATTAGCATCCATACAGAAAAATATATTTTTGTACTTATATGTGTAAGCTATAAAATCATGCTGTATTATTCGAATTCTTTAGAGCCTTATTTAACAGCTTTTGCTATGAACATTTCAATGCTAAATGCATGGTACAAAAAGGTTCATGGTCATCAAATCCACTTAAAGGATATTAGATTCTATCAATATCAATTAACATTCCTGTCTCATCGAACCACTCCTCGACCCCCCTGAATTCCATTTCATCTTGTGTTAGGTGCTATTCCTTGCGTCTGTCATCAATCTGGCATATATCTTTGTTTTTCTGACATTTTTATCACTTGCCTTAAACAGTAGAGCAAGATTTTTATGTTAACTCAATCTGGAAGCTTCTATCTTTTAATAAAGGAAGTGGTGGCACTTCACAAGCATCATAATCTATTCAAATCTAAATTTTGCTGATTTTTTTAACATAAAAATTAGTTTGTCTTATGTTTACAAAGTACAGCAAAATTGGTAGGTAGGTGGCAAAAAATATTTTGCTAATTCTAAAGGAATTCTGTCTAAATATAGTTAACTGCAATATGTAATAAAACCCCACCAATACTGACAAAATAACAGGAGCATTTTGCAGGGATGTCTGGAAGTTTCAGTTGTTACATTCTAGCTGATAGTAATGACAAATTTCTAATACTGAGAAGCTGGTATGATTTGAAAGAAACAGTTTTAAAGGCACAGATATACGAGAGATGCAGAGACAAAGAGACAGGACATGTAAGTGAGGAGCCTGTGAGGCTGAAATATAGAGAAGCTACTAAAAATAAGAAAAAAAATTCAGTTACCACATTTACAGAAAAAGCCATTAAGTTTCTATGTCCTGTATATACAGTTCTATTTCGATAAACTTGAGTTGCACCTTTAAAACGGATGTGCACTTGTTTATTATCTTCATTTATTATCTCCCCAAGAGCTATCAATTGAAATGATGTTATAGTTTATAATCAACTATGTCAGAGAAATGAAGAAATATGAAAGACAATGTATTTATAAAAGGGCCCCTAATTTTTTAACAAGATTCAAAATAAAAGTTATCATTTCAAAGAGCGAAGTAGAGAAGTAGAATGAAAGAACGCCTAGCTCTGGGGGCCCCTGGGTGGCTTTCAGTCAGTTAAGTTTCTGCCTTCAGCTCGGGTCATAGTCCTAGGGTCTTGGCATCGAGCCCCACATTGGGCTCCCTTTTTGGCAGGGGGTCTGCTTTTACCTCTGCCCCTGCTCATGCTCTCTCTCTTGCTCACTCTCCCTCAAATAAATAATAAAATCTTAAGGAAAAAAAAAAAAAAGAATGCCTAGCTGTGAACACAGGTTAAGACTTAGCAGATATATCAGTGCAAAACAAATACATTTTTTTATTAAAATATCTGCTCTCTTACCAATCTCTACTGAATCAGCTCTAAAAGAGATTGAGTAATGCAGCCTGTACAATAAGAATCTGTGGCTACCAGGCTCTTCTCTATGAAATCCACACATCTTTGCTGCAGAGTTAAATGCTTATAAAGAGTCAGCTGTGTCCATTCCCAAACCTGTTTATTACAATTGTATTTATTTCTGTAATTACATGAATTAAGTACTATATAAGCAGATGATATATGAGTAGAAATAGAAAAGACAGTTTTTGGTGCTGTGAAAACTAAACTGAATGCTTCAGAAAAACTGAAAGGCAAGCTACTAAAAAAAAAAAAAGTCTGTTCCACTTCATTGCAGTTAGAGGAAAAATCTATAGAAATACAGAAATATTCTGCATTTAGATTTCTTAGAAATTTAAGTTCTTTGTTCTACTGTGAGGAAACCAAAACTAAAAAACTTTGATAATGTGTCAGTGACAGCAGGGTTATGCAAAAGTAATGGGGAGAAACAGATACCTACTGAAAGAAAAAAAACCATCTAGGGTTATAGCAAAAGATTGATGAATAAGTATAAATTTATACTGAGTGTTCTTAAGAAGTAATTTCTAGCTTTAGTACTTAAATTTTTTTTTCTTTGTTTTTTAAAGCAGGCTCAATGCCCAGCAGGGAGCCCAGTGTAGGGCTTGAACTCATGACCCTGAGATCAAGACCTGAGCTAAGATCAAGAGTCCAAGGCTTAACCCACTGAGCCACCCTAGCTTTAACTCTTTTTAAACTAACCGATAATTACCACCAGTCAACACTGGCTAATAGGCTTTCTTTTAACGTAAATTGGAAAACAGTAATTATTATTTCCTGGCAACCTTAAAGCCTGATGTATGTTTTCTTCAAAATTTAATTTTACATAGTTAAGAGATAAAGAGAAAATCTTGGAAGAAATCAGAGAAAACAGAAGGCCAGACAAGGATGATGGCTAACTGCTTATCAGAAACAATGAAAGACAAAAGACAATGAATTATATCAACAAAGGAAAGGGGGGGGTGGGGGGTGGGAGGGTCTATACTCAGTGAAAATATGCTTCCAAAATGAACAAAAATTTTCCATTTTCAAATAAAGGTGAATTAGTCTCCAGCAGATCTGTACCTAACTCTTCCTCAAAAAGGCATTTTAGAATGCAGATAAATGAGTGTAACACTAGTATAGGCATAAACTCTAACCTGATCTAACTGTAATATTATTTAATTAAAAAGAAATAATTTGTAAATTCTAGTCATTTATTGTTAGTTATAAAATATCGCTGACCAGCCTCACAACTGCCATGACACAGGGGCATGTCCCCACCATATGTGGGTGGCTGCTGATATGTAACCTGACATTGCAGTGAAGGAAGCACTGCTCATTCATTCTTCAATTACAATAATCAGCAATAATCGCGCCTCAGATAAACCTCATTGGCTACGATACTGCCGCTGTGCAAAGCTACTGCTCATTCATTAGGAGCAAACTTACCTCTTTGTTTTGGAAAAATCTGTTCAGGATGCTGTAAAATAAATTACAGTGCATTAATTACTGTAACATAAACCTAAGTGAAATTTTAAAAATATTAATGAAGAGAATTACCTTCATTACTGGCCTGGCTTGCTTCTCAAACAAACCACTCGGAAAAAGGTAAGCAATAGCTCTCTGAAAATATACACAAAGGTTAATTAACAATGGTTATAAACACAAGTTAATGTTATGACTAATACTTTCTGAATGCTTAGTACACGCCAGAGATCTCATAATCTTTTCAACAGGAGATAAAAATGACCACATACACATCCCCCAGAGAAAAATTATTTGTCACTATTAAACTGGTTATTAACAATTTTCAAGTGTCAGTTTCAAACATACATGTGCTCCCATGAATCCCTCTTTTATTTTTTTATCATTTTTTCAAGATTTTTATTTATTTATTTGTCAGAGAGAGAGCGAGAGAGCGAGCAAGCGAGCACAAGCAGGCAGAGGAAGAGAGAGAGAGAGAAGCAGGCTCCCCGCCAAGCAAGGAGCCCGATGCGGGGCTCGATCCTAGGACCCTGGGATCATGACCTGAGCCGAAGGCAGTGGCTTAAGGGACTGAGCCACCCAGGCGTCCCCAAATCCCTCTTTCAAAAGCAAACAAGAGGTGCCCCTCTACAACCTCTGTGGTAATGTGCTCAGGAGCCCCGCTTTGGACCAAATACTGAGAAGAGCAGGCTCCAAGCCTCACCCACCATGATAGCCCCAGTGTTTTTAGATGCTCTCTGAACTCTTCCTAGGAAGTTTTGAGAGGTTTTTATACTACATTTTCCCAACCGGGTTCTCTGAAATGTCTGTCTCTCAATGGGGACGCTATTGGCATTCTGAGTGTGACAGCTCAATTGTACGCAGCCTTGCCCTTCCCTGTCCTGTAGGTCACTTAACAGCCCTGGCCCTTCTCCACCATCTCTGCCGGTAATAACCCTAGCACCTGTGACAAATCTTGCCCGCACACATTTCCAAAAGCCCTCCATCTCCCAGGACTGCCACCAACTTGAGAACAACTGTGTAAGCCATGCCAATGTCTTCGCCAACACCACTCCTCACAATCAAAAGCAAACCACACGCATTTTCCTTTCTCTCGAATGGTGTCAGATGGGAAGTCTGTGGAACTCTAACTGAACTGGCAGCTCACGTAGACACAGCGCTGCTCTGTTGGAGAAGCTGCTCTCAGGATGGGCCTCTGTGCCCTCTCACGCAATGTGCTTAGACCGGATTCCACCCCTGAAAGTCAGGGGTCTGTAACCTGGGGCTTATCAATTCAGTTATCTTAGGGAGCCCATCTGTGTCTCTGAGTCAAGCTTCATTCTCCCATTTGGCCTTCTGGCAGTAAAACGGACACTTAAGAAACCCTTCGATCACACAGCAGAGTGCTAATTTTGTGAACATTTTTTTTTTTAAAGCCAGGGGCGACTCTGCCTTTCCTTCTCTGAGGGAGAAAAGGTGGACTTTTTAATAAGTGATGTTGAGACAACTGATTGCCATTTGGAAAAAGATAAAAGTGGACGCAAACCCGACACCATATACAAGGATAAGCCACAGATGGGTCAGACGGCTGAACACAGAAAATCAAACAAGTATGAGGAGAAAACATGGCGAATTCCTCTATATAAGCTACACCTCCACAGGCAAAACCAACACCATCACAGGTTATTCGCTGATTTACAACCACAAAATATTAGAACCCCCTCCCCCAAGGTTGGCTGCATAAATGATGGCATGTCCATGCCACCAAGCACTCTAGCCATAAAAAAAGATTGATAAAAGCAAGACACAAGGGAAATGTGCTTAGAGTGTGACCTTTGGTGTAAGAAAAAGAAATAAGAAAATACATATAGGAATAGGGGACAATATACATAGGTTTCTTTCCATAAGAAACGGTACAGTGTAAACAAATAAAAATGATCATTTATTAAGGGGTAGGTGGCAGCAGGGTGAAAGCTACGGGGATGAGTAAGGCTTTCCTGGGGATGCCTTTATTCAGCTGAACTTTGGAGCACGAATATGCTGTATATATTAAAGACCAACATTTTCAAAAGAAACTCTAAAACTTAATATAAACAAAATAAACCTCCTTTCTTTCTTAAGATTTTATTTATTTGACAGAGAGAGAGACAGCGAGAGACGGAACACAAGCAGGGGGAATGGGAAGAGGGAGAAGCAGGCTCCCCACTGAGTAGGGAGCCCGATGTGAGGCTGGATCCCAGGACCCCGGGATCATGAGCTGAGCTGAAGGCAGAGATTTAACAACTGAGCCACCCAGATGCCCTATACAAACCTAATTTCTAATGACAAAAACAACAACAACAAAACACCACAACAGCAAAGAATTCTTTAACTTTACTTGGAAGGCTTATTGTTAGTAATATTAATATTAAAATTCTGAAACATTTTGTGTCTGTTATAGCATAAAGTAAATAAAGGTATCAATTTTATGGTGACCAAGATGTTACTCAGGAGAGAAGATACAAACATAAAAGAAATGTAATGTTAAGCTTGAATTAGACAAACCAAAACATACTTGGGATCTTTAAAAAATATTATTTCCTGGATTATTCCTATAATATTTAAAAGAGATTACTTTTTAGTTCTGTCCCCTCAAAGAGCACAGATGTAATGAAACTCTAGAATCAAGGAGTGGCCTCTAGCATCCAAATCTTGGTTTCTAAACACAGTTTCCTAGTATAAAGAACAGAGCATCTCAGGAAAAGGATTAATCCTAGGCCTAAGGCAGGGAAAGTACAGAATAAGCCTGAGACACCTTCCTGTGCCAGAAAACAAGAAAGTGCTTGAAAGGACAGAGAAACCAGCTTCAAGAAGCTCCCACTGGCCACACTTGTGACAATGTGAACATCAAAAAGAACAATGACAATGCCTGGTAACATACTCAATACATACATGTTGAAGAGTGTGCCTCTATAAACACACACACACACACACACACACACTCACTCTCTCGCTCTCCAGGGTTCTGAAGTAGGAAGCAAGGAGAAAAGGAAGGCCTCTTTATGAAACAATACCAGTTAATAAAAGTAGAAGGAATGAAAGAAGTAGAAAATCACTGTTTTATAACCTCCAAAGTAATCTTCAATTTCAGCCAAGGATCACCAGTGGATGATAAAGTCATTGGCTGAAAGGTTACTGGGGACTAGAATATTTAAATGGACCCCAAATAATCACCCTACAGATGACTTAGTTATGAAGGGAAAAAAATCACTTTTACAATAAAGAGGTCGGTGGGCACCACATTAACCAAGGGGTCAGATGTACAATCAATAGTGGGACAAGCTCATTATATACCTCCTGGTGTGAGGGAACAAGAAGTATACAATATCACACAAGTATTACCCTTTATACATTCTAAATCTAATCACCAGGAGCAAGCAGAAAGCCAGAATGTAGACAACCGTATAAGACAAGTGGTCTGGATTCTACAAAACTAGCTAGCTATAAAGACATTTTAGGGAAAACTGAGGAAATTTAAGTATAGACATAGATTATAGAGTGTTACAGATTTATTGTTAATTGTATTAGATATAAACGTGGTTACCATGGAAAAATGGTATGAAGGATGTATGTATGTAGGGCTAAAGTGAATGCGGATACATTTAGGGGGTAGGTGTTATGATACTGCATTTTCAACTCACTCAAAATAAGTTTTATATATACAGAGAGAAAGGGAATGTGGCAAAATGTTAACTGTCAAATCTATGTGAAAGGTATGTATGTGCAAGTGTCTTTGTATTCATCAAATATTCAAGTTTTCTGGAAATTTGAAAAATTTGAAAATAAAAAGATGAGAAACGTTAAAAATTAAAAAGTAAGTCCCTCGGGTCTTTCCAAATCTAACCTGTCTCCGCAGGGCCACCATGAGACTACAGCACCTATAGTAGCCCAGCTGGCCTTCAGGCCTGGTTCCCACAATCAGCCATGGCACTCCCAAGGCTGGTCAGACATCTTAGCCAAGGGGCTACTGACTCAAGGCCTGGGTGAGAATAACAGCATGGAAGACGGATGTACAACTCTGCAGCCTGGGGTAAGCACGCCAGGATTACAAGGGTGAAAGTCCAATCAACTTTTGAATCAGGTTCAAGCTGTCACTGGTATCATTTTCAAATATAAAAATTACTAGTGGGACACCTGGGTGGCTTGGTGGGTTAAAGCCTCTGCCTTCAGCTCAGGTCATGATCCCAGGGTCCTGGGATCGAGCCCCGCATCTGGTTCTCTGCTCCGTGGAGAGCCTGCTTCCTTTTCTCTCTCTGCATGCCTCTCTGCCTACTTGTGATCTCTGTCTGTCAGATAAATAAATAAAATCTTAAAAAAAAAAATTACTAGTAACCTAGGTGACTAATGAAAGAGTTCAAGAAAGCAATGAAAATGTAAAGAATTTCATCCCGCAGCAGATTTCTCATGAAAACTAAGACATACACAAGTCATGAGGAAGTTAACCAGTAGAACTTGAAAATAAGGCACTGACTGCAAAGGGTGTCTAGGTCTTACAGGCAATCTCTGTATTGACTTAAAAAAAAGTTAGTAAAGATTTTGGTAGAAATATTCTGAAATTTCCTAGAAGGATCAGGAAAAGTAGCACTGCCTTAGACAAACAAACAAACAAACAAACAAAAACCTCAGCTAAGAAAAAACACATATTTACTAATTCATAATTCCTCACTATATTAGATGATAATGTTGATTTTATTTATTTTAGAAAGAATGTGCGATGCAGGGGGGGTGGGCAGGAGGAGAGGGAGAGGAAGCAGACTTGGCGCTGACCGTGAGCATGACACAGGGCTCAATCTCATGACCCTGAGATCATGACCTGAGCCAAAACCAAGAGTCAGATGCTTAACCAACTAAGCCACCCAGGCACCGCAGGTGATAATAATAACACAACCAACTACACTCTATTGTATTAACTATATTATGCTATATTATACACTCTATTACTAATTACTGACAGGGCATGTACAAGGTACTCTGCTATATTGTACCAACTATATTATATTTGTACCAAATTATAGTAGGTTTTGTACTAAGTACTGTGGAAAAGGTCCATAGAGTAAGACACCACATTAGATAAACAGCAAAATCACAGGTTCAGTAAAAATAATAAAAAACAAAGGATG